CTCCTCGGGAGTGGCGATGGTGTTCGAATTCCGTGATCCTCGTCGCGCCTTTTTCCTCTTCTTCTTCGACGTGGCGTTGACTTGACTTGTATACGCCGCCCATAATATACGACGTTGCTCCGAAGGATGAACCTCTTCCCAACCTGGGACACCTTCAGGGAACTCATATCCCATGGAAAGTGCTTGGCGTTGTAGGTCCGCGATATGTTCGAGGTACTGCCGGTCTGCTTCTCGTTGCTGGATCGCTTTGAGTCGTTTCGTTCTGGCGGCTAGTCGCTTCGAGGCCAGCGGTGTCTTTCTGTCACCGCTCGCACCACTTTTAGGGGAAGGAAGAATGTCAGTGTGACCCATACTAGCCAACCAGCCATCCAATACCTCGGCATCTCTTTCTAACCGCATTGCCTCCACATCTTCTAGTAGTTCGTATCCAGGGACGTTCAGCGGGAAGGGTACCTCCCCTTCTTCAGCGTCTTTTCTGTAACCCGCGAGTTTCAACATCCACGCCCTTTCCACTTCAACACTTCTATACAGGCTCAACGCCTGCCTCGTCGCATCCTCCTCTTGCACGTCTGAAAAGTACGGTTGGTTACCCTGCGGGATCTGCACCCCATTCTGCCTAGCCATCTCCCGTCGCTCCTGATCCCTCGCCTCCCTCAAACTATCATTCTCCCACGCCTGCTCCCTAGCTCGCAGCAGTCGACGCCGTTCGTCCGGCGTTATTGCCACGTGCGTACCAGAGGGCGTTATGGTACCGGGTGGCCCGGCGCCACCTGTAAAGAGATAGCTTTCATCGGGGTCTTGGTTTGATGTGTAGGTAAGGAGAGTAGCTTGCTGTCCGTCGACTGGCGAGGTGTAGATGTCGGGGGATTTGTCATACGGTACTATGCCTTGAGCGTGGGAGCGAGGAGAGGGGCCTGGTGGGTAGGGGGTTAAACATGTGGTGCAGAATGGGGATGTAGATGGGCTGTCGAAGTGGCAGAGGGGACAGCGGGTCGTGGGTAGCGTGGGTTGGCTTGATGGGTTTGAAGTCTTCGCATTCGGTGCATCCCGCTTTCGAGACCGCAGCGCCCTCAGTTCCTCATCAGAAAAAGGCGTGAAGATTCCTCCGCGTCTACGCTCTTCTTTCGTCAATCCTTCCCGCATCGCAGCATCTACCTTCTTCGCCAAAGTCCGCGTGGCAGCATCCATCCTTTCCTTCTCTTCTCGTGTAGCGCTATGTATTCCACTTTGTGAGCCCGAACACTCCCCAGGTACATCCACCATCTCAAACACATCTCTCACTACACCTGCTCTATGCACATCGCGGACATATCTCGGAATCCCTCTACATAACCTGTGTACGGTCTTAGATACGCAGATGCAGCTATCTACGCCCTTCATACCAATGTGCGCTAAGTGATTGAAAGTACACTTTGCGGCAGCGGGTATGATGCCGAAGCGTGCGGTTGGCGAGGTGGTGTAGAAGGAGTTGGGTATGTGGCGTTTTTGGCGTTTTTGTGGGGGTTGGTTGGGTTCGGAGTGATGGTGTGGTGGGTGTAGTGTGTGTGATTGGGGGAGCTGTGAGGGGAGTTGGTGGTGGGAAGGGGAAGGGGTGATGACTGGGTTGGGGTGGTCGTCAACATCGGTTCTGGTTCTCTTCCGTGATATTTTCTGGGAAGGAGGAGGGTTGTGGCTCTTGAGAGACGCTGTGTTGACTTCCGTCATGACGAGATTTTGTGGTTTCCTCTGGTACAACCCAACACCGTGATCTCTGCCAAACGCAGCTTCAACATCCGCTATCGTCACGTTTCGTGCGCGACTCGCATCGGATATCTGTGGAGGAACATGTATCCTTGAAGTTGCAATGCTTCTCATTCGAGCGCACCTCCTTGCGTAGGGGTCGCATGGAGCGCTGCAAATGGGGTTGGCTCGTCGTTGTTGAGTCATCGTAGTGGCGGACGGAGGATGTAGGGTCGGTATTACGGTATCATGGGTCACGATTACAGGTATGGTGTGCTAGAATACGATAAAGATGAGCGTGTACAAAGTCTTTGTGTGGTATAGTGCAAGTGATAAGAGTGGCGAGATGGAACAAAGGGAGGTTTGGCAAGACAAAGCGAAAAGAAAAGGCCGGACAATCTAATGACGGTATGAATCTTGTAACTCAACGGCAGGCGAAAGTTGTCACTGTGCAAAAGAACATCCAGATATTCAAGTAGTCTTCAACATGAGCAAAATCTCGCGAACCGCAACACAAGACAAACTCCCTACTCCCCCCCCCCCAACCACTCAACCCTGCCTAGCCCTCAAATCCGCCTGCCTCCCCCTCATACTCTGAAAGAACCCCTGCATCAAGCTCTGATCAATCCGACTAAACTCCCACCACCCCTCCTGCGCCGCATCCGTAGTCCCCACATAAACCTCCCTCGGATGCAACCTCGCGCACGGCCAAAGTCCAAATGGACGAACAGACAGCGTCGCGAGCAGCGGATACACTTCTTCTAGGAGCAGGCTCGACAAGATCTTCATCTCGCCTCTGTATCCCGGCGACACTTGGTCGATGAACTCCTGGGAAAGCAGGTCTAATGTCGTGTCTACGAGGCGCACATGGCCGCCATTACTTCCCCACGACGCGCCGTATGGAGGCGGGGGACGAGTCTCCTCGGTCGGAGGATCGATGTGCGATTTGAACGCTTGTTTGTCCACGACAAGGAAATCTTGCGTCCACATACGGCCTAGCGTGGGTAGCATGGTGAAAGTCCGCTTGAAATGTTGTTTCGCAGCCGCGATGTCGCCTTCCGCGATCCCAGCTTCTCGGCCGTCGATGAACATGATTTTGGCCTTGCTCTTGATGGCGTCGTAGCCGGAGATCCACGTCCCAGATCGCATGACGTCTTTGGTGAAGTTTTCCTCAAAGGTAGCCCATTCTTCGTCGGTTTGCTCGTAGGTCAGGCGGTAGCATACGAAACCCCATGCATCGGGATTTCTCTCGAGATTCCGTGGGTTCTTTGCGTAAAAGTCCATGCGCTCGCGGAGAATCGTGATCCAGTGTTCTTGCGCAGCGGGCTTGGGTGGACCGCAGAGGGCGAGGCGGGTTTCATCGCGATTCTTCTTGCCTTCTTCGTAGTGGCCGAGCAGATTCTCGGTGTCGCGGAAACGGGGGTGGGCTGGCTTAGTGAGCTGTCCCATTATGTCCATTTGTTCTGCTAAGGAGGGTGGGTTGGCGGCTTGGTCGGCGGCGGCTTTGTCTTCGGCTTCTAGGATGGCTAACTGGTGCTTGAAGGATTTGCTTCCCATGATCTGAGACCAGGTGTTTTTTCGTTGTGCGACTGGGAGGTCGGTGAAAGCGTTGGTGGTTGTGTAGCCCTTGAAACCGGTCATGGGGACGCCGATCGTGTACTCGAGTCTGGTGAGCATCCCTCTGAGATCTTGAACACACTCGTAGTACTTCTTGCCGGCCTCGCCGATAGCTGCTTCGTCGGTTCCAGCGGTTTTCAGAGCATCTTTGTACTGCTCGAAGGCACGTGCTTGGACTTCATCCACGCGATCTACGACCCATTGATGCGTACGCTGCGACATGTTTGTCATCCCGTCGTTCCAGTACTCTGCCCACATGCCAGCAAGATCCAATCTCTCTTCGACGCCATTTTGTTCGCGTCGCAAATTAGCTGCCTTCTGGAACTCAACATATCTGTCGACCATCCAGTTGAAAGCGTCGCGAGTCCGGGTGTGGACCTCCTCGTGGCTGAACCATTCAAATATCTTGGTGAGGTCATTGATCAATTCGAAGAGGTTCCTGTAGTTGGCAGGGTCATCCATCTTGCGTTCTACCCAGCGATCTCCGCTGATTGGCACCATACCAAGCAAGAGCTTTGCTTTGAGAGGGCGTAGACGCGCGAGGAAGCCCATGTGTGGTGATCTTCGGAGCTCTGGGATTTCTTGCCTCTTCATCAGCGGTGCAATGCGGTCCATGCAACTGTAGTTGTTTCTGTTGAAAGGTGCAGGAGCCCATTGACTGTATGGCGCGGTCAGCAGCCCGTATTCTTCTTGTGTCATGAGTGGGAAAGACGGACGGCCGCCGCCGGATCTGCGACCGCCAGTACTGTAGTCACTAAAGCCCTGTAGGTTTCGCACTGATACGAGGTCCTCCTCTTGTATTTGTTAGTGTATGGTCATGAGTTGAATGGAGGTTTAGTACCATAAACAAGATTGAGCAGCTGTTCGTGACTCCATGATGCATGGTCCCCGAACCAGTCCTTCATGTGCTTCTCCGCCGCATCAAGATTCATATTGCGAAGACTTTCTTCCATTTTCTCTTTCCCTGCAGCGGTAGCGGTATGCGGGGTTGAGGTGAATTGTTGATAGCGGACTATGGGAATGTGTCTTTGCATTTGTAGTGTCGAAGACAAGTACGGTGTAGAACGAGCTATGCTGCATCTGGGCACGCGCCAGGCTGCAATGCGTGAGGCTTGTCGGGCCAGCCTGAACGAAGCCATGAATAGCAATTTTTCAAGGCAACGAACGCTCGAGCGCGGAGCCCAGAAGACGTTTATGGGCGGCTGCCTCAGGGTGAATGTAAGGCGTGCCGCGCCATCACTGAAAAAGGAAAGGCGGATCACCACTAGCTTCCGCGGTGCCACTAGGCAGCGATCTGGACCCAGAACACTTCCCGTCCCAAATCGCTCATCGCTTTTTTCTCGCAAGAGATGCTCTGCGGGCGCACACTTCCACTCTTATCCATGCGACGCGTATTGGGTATCATATATGCGGTTTCTGTAGTGCCCGGCACGTAATGGAAATGTATTGTCGTATCATTGTCTTCCAGTTCACGATATAGTCAAGTGGCTCGCCTTCTCCGTTGCGATCTATAGGCATACAAGATGGGGAAGTAATCCGGACAGCACACTCTGACCTCGACAATTGATTGGCGTCAGAACTCCCAGTAACCATGCTTTTGTCTATCTCTCTTGCTCAGCACCAAGCTGTCCAGCTTGATTTGAGACTGCAACTCTCGAAATGAGCTAATGTTGCGTCACGAAAACCGCGATATCCCTGCCCATCTTGCTTTCAGGTCGCACAATGGCTTCCTCGCTTTCGTTTCCAAGGTCTGTGAGCCCCTCAATCCCATACTTCCTATTGCTGTTTGACTTGTTCGACGACGTGCCAAAACGTTTCAACTCAAATCTGCTGCTATATGATCGATCGGACTGTGCGCGAGGCGTGCCGGAAGCCTTGTCGTGACTTCCGGCGCTGCTCCAGACTCTAGGAAGGTAGGTTTTGATGAGGACTTTGAAGGTCGATGCCGAGCTGCATATGATGGCTGCAAAAACACAGGGTTAGCCTTGACGGATTTGATCAAAGATTTGAGAGGAGACATACCTGCGTAGATCTCGATGCTACACCAGTTCAACGAGTCAGCCATGTAGTACCAGATATCGGCTTCATCGGAGAGGAACAGCACGTAGTAGAAGCGCACACAGCCAGCTGCAACTGCGACCAGTCCTACCCCGAGAAGAGCGCACAGAGCGATCTTTTGACCGCGCGGCATCTGCAGCTTCCAGACAATGTGCATTGGTAGGATGTATATGGCGAAGTCTTGAATAATGCTGTAGTGCGCGAGAGTCAATGAGTCTGCATCCAGTCGAGGTTTTGGTCGCAATGCTTACTTCATGATCCCGTTGATGTTGAAGAACACTTGCTGCGTGTCCTGCTTCAGGCACTTCTCTGGATGCAGAGCCTGGCCCGCAGGATCCCAAAACAGCGATGGCGGCGTGCAGACAAACAGCAACACAAAGAACGTTACGATCGAGAGTGCAGCCACCCATGCCATTAGGAAGTATACGATCCATCTCGTGGGTCGTCGAGGGTCCAGTCTGTGGTAGAAAACGAGGATGCTGAACTTGACGAGGCATATCGCTACAACGTAGAGTAGGCGTGTCGCGAGATTTGCCTTCAACATAGGAGTGATGTCTTCGTTGGAAATGTCGGGTGCTGTAAGATCTTCAGCTAAGATTCGAGCAGATGATCGGTCTCGACTGCTTACTGTGCTTGCCTACACCGTACCAACCGCCTGCAAATGGGCTGTTAGTCAATCTTGAGCTCCGCTACGGTTTCGCTCTGAGATTTATAGACTTACAAACCATATTAGCGACTGACAGCGAGATGGTGAAGAATGCGCCAGAGATGATCAAATCTGAGTTTAGCTGTCAGTACGGTGCTTGCGAATTAGCTATAGAGATCAACTCACAGTCGTCGGTAGCCAGTTTCAGCCGTATCAAGCGTACACGAACATAGACGCGTAAGAATACTACGACACTGGCGATTGCGATGAAGGGGATGCCAATGGCGAACAATGAAGACTGCTTGGTATCACTCTCGAGCCCGCGAGGCTGCCTTTGACGAGACATGTTCTGCAGTGGAGACATCTGCGATGGTCCAACACCAAAGAAGAACTGATGCGTGTGGAGAAGGTGTTCTACCCAAAGCCAAGTGCCACTGCAGCCACAGGTGAAGACATAGGTACACCTATTGGCCTACTCGGGGCCACCCGCCGTGCCTCACGGCGTGGGAGAACAGGCTGGCGATCGTTATGTCTGTTGGTAAATCACATGGTTGTCGTTTCGCCCCAGTGCAACGGTCTTGGACGCCTATGCAGTCGCGGCTCGAAATGGCATCTCTTTCGTGTCTGATCACCATCTCACTGGAGCAAGTATGGGCATCCCCTGGCCGCGCTGAGATTGTCGTTGCATTATCTGAATAGAAGCAACTCTTGGTGGTCTGTGAGGCTCGGTTAGGATTTTGACGCAAAGATGAGCTCATACTCGGTAGTTTCGCATAAATGTCCACGCCGCACTGACTCGAGGGCGGACATTACCCCACGCCGTATGCCGTGGCTAAATCCTACATAAGGGACCTGCCGCTTAGGATGGCAGGCAGCTCCGATAGGATGTTATTCCCGACTGAAGGATGCGAGAGCCGCGTACACTGTTGCATGAAACGCGTTGAGGATATTCTGAGCAGGAAGCGATTTTCATGTTTTGATCGCGATGAGAACGAAAGCGAAGATCGTTGGAACGTAGTTCTATTCGCATTTTAGAGCACCAGAGTAGCTTTGGGGTAATCAAATGAGAGAGACCGACCATACGCGGCACGTCAACCTAGGGAAAAACTGAACAGGTCTACAGCCTACACTTTTGTTGTTACAGCCTACATTAAGATGTAAACACGCAAAGCAGGTGACCTAATGTCGATGTAGGCTCTAGGCCTGTTCAGGTTTTCTCTTGTATGAGGTGGCGGTATAGATCCTTTCGCTCATTGAACAGGTCTCGTAGATAGCATGCTCAATGGAAAGCCCACCTCATGGTTGTTCACTTTTTAGTCGCGCCGATGCAGCTCTCCATTGTCACCATGCGCCTGTTCTCCTTTAGTGCAATCAGTTCGGCTTGGAAGTCAGCTTCCCAAGCATCTTGCTGCCTCTTTGGCTTCCAGCCCAATAGCTTGCGTGCAAGTACCGCTTTCGTAGCTTTATGCCCACCCCAACCACGCTCCGCGATATCGCGACGACCCGCAGTGAGCTTGTCGGAAATCTCATGCAGCGGCACAGATCGAATCTCCTTCTCTTTGGGAGTACCTTCACGTGGCAGGATACCGTCAGCAAATGCTGCGTCTAGACACCCTTGGTTGATATCCTTGATGAGTGTGCGCCCGACGGCCGCGAACATGACGCCGTTCTTGCCGGATGGGAGGTAACCGACGCCGCGATCTTCGCGTTCGAGGATCTTGCGTACGAGAAGGACGTAGATGTCGGCGAGATCGATGACGTGAACCCAATCGAAGTTTGCTGTCTCGTTGAGCTTCCAACCGTATCCATGCTGTACAACGTACATCATGATCAATGGAATGACCAGGCCTTGCTTGTTGAACAAGCCGGTGCCTTCGCCAAAGATGCATGGTGTGTTGATACTGATAGCTTGTACGCCAGTAGCATCAGCAGCCTCCAAGACGCCCACTTCGGTTGTCCTCTGCGTGTAGGGCTCCATCTCATCGAGCGCTCTCATGAAGCTAAAGATCCTGCGTTTGTCCGTCTCGTCGTTCCATTCTCGTATGGGTCGTGGAGGTTGCGATATGGGACGGTCGGATAGATTCGTGCAACCTGATATGTGTAGTATCCATGGCGCTGGCTTTCCAGCATTGATGCCGCGAGCGAGTCCATTGACAAAGGCAATGGCGCCTTCAGGAATGAAGCCAGAGCCTGTGTTGATGATGATGTCGTACTTGGACGCTGTGTCTTCGATGAAGGCTACATCTTCCAGACCGGACCATTTGATGGTGTTTACACGGCAGCCGTATACGGTTTTGAGCTTCTGAGCTTGCGTTTCGTCGCGGATGAGGAGGTCAAAAGTGAGATTTTTGATGCTCGGTGCTGTGCTTGCAATGAGCTGGGCGAGAACAGTGCCGCCAACGTATCCTGTAGCGCCTGTGAGTAGAATCTTGCTCATTGTGAGATCTAGAAGGATGTCCAATAGGTTCGAGAGACGTATTGATCAACTGATATCCATTTGCTCCCTCGACCAGTCTTGTCTTTCGAGACAGCTCCTCGGAAACTGACTCGTAGTAATGCTTCATAGTGGGTACCGTGCTGTGGGAAGCGACCCCGGCCATATAGGATTCTTACACATTGGGAAATAACAACGTCGCGTGGGGTTGGGCAAGGACCTGAAAGGATTCTTCCGGTTAACCGAATTGTTGAGCATGCATCAGCCGCCTATTAACTTCCGATATGCGTCTTTGATCAACAGTTATGACCGTGGGAGGTGACCAGGTAGCCGACACTCAGAAGAAGAACGGAATGTCTGGTCGTTGCGGTCAGACGAAGGGCGGCTATAAATGCGAGCAACATCCTGTCTACCAAGCGTTTGAGATGTGGTCGAATCTTTTCCTGAAAGCGCTGTAAATCTGGACTGTATGAGGTAAATCCTCCGCTGTACCAGGGGGAGATGCGTTTGTGAGGCACAGCAAGATCGGCTCATGTGAGAAGGAGGGGGTGCACGACCGACGCTAGTCAGGGTCGAGGTTCCTGGTCGCGGCAGTGATATCGACGAAGGGTTGTGGAAAGCCTGTGATGTTGATGTGTTGGTTTTACGAGAGCAACATGAGCGAACGAAGGTCGGGTCTCACTACCACACGAGCACCAGTGGCCGACTGACCTCTTTCGCGTTGATGCAGCCGCAAATCATAAGAGATTCGGAGTTGTCGCAAAGCTGCTATAAACAAAGGTGGCATCCAGTATTTGGTTGGAGCGTGTGGACTACGTCACCTCATGGCCTGAGAATTGACCAGACGCCGCATGGTCGTGCATACTTCATGCACGTTGTTGTCCATCGCAAGGAACCCGTTAGATTGGAGTTCGCATCTGCACATCTGGCAGTGTGCAATCGCGCAATGAGATGGCTGCGAGGGGGTGGCCGTGATGATCGTTGTTGTGTAGATGGATGAGTTAAGACGGATGGGTGATTGATCGTGATCGCACGACGCGTCTCCTTCCTAGCTGACTAGCGCGACGCTAGTTCGCGTCGATATGACGTAGCCATAGAGTCTCACAAACCCACGACCTCGGGAAGATCGTGATGAATTCTTATCCTACATAACGCCAGTCTTACCGCATGAGACGATGAACCTCGATGTGAATCAATGAAACCATGATGGTATCCTCCGACGCTACGGTTGCCGTGCGCATCGCTCATCACCCTGGGCCATCTCAAGTCCCGACCTCGGTATGCTTGCGACATTGTCTATCATCGGAAGGCTACCACACGCTATGTAGGACCGTGGAGGTACTCGCTAGTTCTCCATACAATAGCGACCAACTTATCGCACTATCGTAATCGTCCCCTCCATCCTTTGCATGCATCTCGGCACATGAAACGGTCTATGTAGTTGACTACTACTAACATCGCGTGTATCCCAGCCCAAACTAATCTCATGTAGTTGTCTAGCACTGTATAATTTTGCGAGGGCTTTTTGCTTCGCCTACAAGCTCAGGGAGTTGTTCGAGGGCTTGAGAGAGTTGTTCGAGGGCCCGGATCTGGAGCAGAAGCAGGCATACTTGCTTGCGCTTCGCGGATGCACTGCCGCCACTCTCGTGCTTGAAGGCTGCCCGGGCACCGGCAAATCTCACACTCTCCGCGCCATCTGCGTCGCAATGGTCCTCATGGGCTATCACGTCTTCGTCAGCGCCCAGTCCAACAATGGCGTTAACGCGGTGTTTCAGAAGGTCGTCAAATGGGCACGGAAGAACGGCCCACAACGGATCGAGGACGGCATTCGGCTTCGCGTGAGAACTAGCACCGTCTACGATGCGCTCTTCAAGGAGCTCGGCCAGCACTGGGAAGATTCCAACGTCGATGAAGAGTTCTCCGATGGCATGATCAGCTCCATCTCCGCATCCAACATCCCCGACTGCGCCGCGTACAAGATTGCCAAGTACGCTGGCGCTAACCCAACTGAGAATTCATGCCTCACCTACACCAAGTACGCTAATGCGAAGGCCGAGAAGAAGCGCAAATTTGAGACCGGTCAGGTGAAGGTCTCTGGCGCTACAGTGTCTCGCGGCTCAGCTATGAAGGCATGCATTGGCAAGCCTCGACTCTCTGCCACCACCTCTGCAGCTTCTCAGCGTGAGGTCGTTCAGCGTATCCTGGGGCTCTCAGATGTAGACAGATTCTACATGGTCCCATTCGATGAGGCCTCGCAGGCTACTGAGGCGTCTTTGATGCTCATTTCGAATACGATTGGTTCATCGACGCGGATTGAGTTGTCTTGAGTGGTGATCGTTGAATCCCGCCCCTCATCAAGTCTAAGCGCGAAAGGCTATTCCACCAGGCCATAAGAATGTGGTGACGCAAACCTACCAAAACTCTTATCACGTTGCAGCTATCCTCGACACCACCCTCCATCGTGTCACCTGAGCTGATTTCCACTTCTCCACTCCCTACCCCCTCTACAACGATGAAGCGCCCGCGCGAAATGAGGGCCGAGCAGGCTGTTCCCCAGGACTAGGAGACACTGGTTCTTATGGCCACCCGCTAGGTACGTGCTACTGACCCGCAGAGCGTGGACATGTGCTGACAACTCGCTGGCAGCTACTACAACAGCCTATCAATCTGCCTGAGCTCAAGGCTATGCAGCAGATAGTCTAGCACGCGTTGGCGCAGTGGCAGTGCTTAGCTCTGCTAGACACTCGACTACAACCGTCGCTATATCTTGCCCTGCGCTTGGGGACCGTGTCTAGAGTGGCTCCTCTTGCTGCTAGTGACTCGGAGGCTAGTGACTTGGAGGCTAGTGACTTGGAGGCCAGCGACTTAGAGGCTAGTGACTAGGATGCTAGTGTCTGGGATGCTAGCGACTTGGATGCTAATGACACGGATGCTAGCGATGCGGATGCTAGCGATGTAGACGCTAGCGATGCGGACGCAGACACGCGCACGTTACCCTCTCTTCCTCCCCTAGCAGATAGTAAGCTAATAGGTAAGTAGGCGCTCGACTTTGAGACACAGTAGAGCTTAGCTATTCTTAAGATTTAACTAAGCTATCTCTAAAAAAAGTAAGTATAATATAAGCTATTTTTTGCTTAATTTACGCTAGTAGCGCTAGTTTATTACTTTTATATTTAGCCTATAACTATTATTTTTACTCTACTATACTACTACTACTATACTTATATAGTAAATATTAGTAGTAAGAACTTATAAAGTCTATACTAGTTAAGACTTAGTACTATCTATTACTAATATAAGCGCTAGTAGTAGTAATAGTAATAGTAATAATATTAAGATTAACCTTAAGTATAGTAAGTATATAGCTATTTTAAAAAAGTAAGTAACTTTAGATAAATTTTAGATAAGTCTATACTTATAGTAATATAGTACTACTACTTAATCTATATAGTAAGTAAGACCTACTTTATTAGCCTTTTTTATATCTTTTTTATAAGTTATTTTCTAGAAATACTAAATAAGTCTAAGTTAATACTATATAGAATAAAAAGTTATATACCTACGCTATTATTAAAAGTACTTTTTACTATTTTACTAATCTTAATATTAGTACTAGAAACTTAAAGAGAAGATATTATAAAAAAGTAAAGCTACTAAAGTAAACTTAGTCTAATTATAGCTAATACTTATATAAGTTTATTTTTATTACTTTAGAAGTAGTTATATTATATATTAAAAAAGTTTATAAAGCTACTATAAGTTAGTCTAAACTTAGTGTAGTCTATTTATACTAAGTAGTACTAGTATAAAGCTACTAGCTATAAGTACCTTAACTAGGTTATAGGCTAGATTAGAAAACTCTAGCTTTAATATATAGAGAGTAAGTATAATATAGATATATCTTAGATAAAACTAGTCTAATAGAGATAGAATTTTATAAAACTATAAATAAGTGTACTAATATTATAATAGAGCGCTAGACTATAAAGAATATACTATAAGCTTAAAATAAATAGTAAGATACTTCTAAGTCTTAATCTACTAAGTACTACTATTTTATAATACTAGAGTTTAACTAAGATTTACTACTACTTATTAAATAATAAAGTTAGTTAAATACTAGATATATAATATTAGACTATAATTAGGTATATTATTTTAAAGAGACTAGAGATAAATTACTACTAAGCTATAATAGTAATTCTAAGGTATTTATAGCTAATACTAAGTTAGTCTAGGCTCTTTAGAGCTAGAACTTAATATTATTCTCTCTCTTAGAGTAGATTACTCTTAATCTACTTCTAAAGTTATTTAATAGGCTAGATAAGATAACTATAGCCTATAATAGACTATTTTAGCCTATAATAGCTTATTCTAAGCTAGTGTAAGTATATTATATTTATAGAAAAGTAGAAATCTATTATAAAAAGTAGTAGTTCTAGAAAATTACGTATAGACGCGCGTATAAGGCTACTACTTATACTAGTAGAGCTAGCGTAGGCCTATACACTTTAGGTATTTCTAGCTAGTTAAATTTCTTTTTTCTATTCTCTACTTTCTAATTACTTTATAATAGTAAGTATTAGCTCTTTTTATCTATTATTTTTAAAATTCTAAGAAAGTCTAAAGTAACTTATTATAGCCTATTTTAAAGTATAATAAAGTAGTTTAGTCTAAATTAGAGATTTTTAGCGTAAATTATACTAAATTACTACTAACTAGCCTCTAGTACTCTAACTAAGACTATTAACGCGTACTTTATACTAATTTACTCTCTTTCTACTTATATCTACTTTTTATACTTTATATTACTCTATTTTAAGCCTTAATAGCTTCTTTTACCTTAACTTAACTATAGTTAGTAATAATTAAATTACTATAAGCTACTTCTACGTATCTAGGCTTTTTAAAATTAGTTATATACTATATACTAGTTATCTATAGTTATAAAAGCTTAATAAGTCTTATATATTTAACTACTATAGCTACACTTTTCTAGTTCTTAAGACTAAAAAAAAGCGCGCTATCTTTACTAGTATAATTAGAAAAGTTACTAGCGTACTATCTAGAGATACTATTATCTAAACTATTTTATATAGCTAGTGTTAAGCTATAAATAAGTAGTGCTTTACTATAAGTATCTATTTTACTTTTTTCTAGCTACTATTACTCTCTATTAGCCTCTATAAAGCTAATATATAGTAAATAGCTCTAGAATAGATAGTTTTAGTCTATTTTAGCTTATTTTAGGCCTTTTTACGCTAATACTAACTAATATAGTCTCTAGAGAATCTTATTAACTTAGAAACTATATATAAGATTATCTACTAATTATTAACTAACTAGAAACTCTTTAGTAAAAAACTTATTATTCTATATTCTTAAGCCTCTAATAATATCTTAGCGCCTACTCTACTAGCTATAAAGAACTTTAAGCGTAGTAACTTATACTACCTAAAAATAGACTTAGTAGAAGAGTATAAGAGCGTCTATAATAATATTATTAAGTAAGTTTTAATCTATATTAGTCTATTTTAGCCTAATCTAGTGTCTTATAGACTTTTCTATTCTTTCTAGAGTTAGTAAAGCTTTTATAAAGTCTAAAAGAGCTAGATTAGTCTATAATAGTCTATTCTAAACTATTTTAACTAACTTTAGTAGTAACTACTCTTCTAATTAGAAGTACTTATAATTTTATTCTAGCGCACTTTATAGCTATAATACTACTAAGTCTAGTGCGTACTCTAATAATAAGACTAAAGCTAAGACTATAGTTACTAGCTTTACTAATAGTACTTTCTACGTATCTAAGAAGAGAGCTAATAAGATTACTAGTGCGCTTAACACTAGATTACTATTTAAGTAATTAGTAAGTTCTAAAATACTCTCTTCTAGACTCTTATAGCTCTAATTAGCTCTTTATAAGTTACTAGTAGCTACTTTACCTCTATTTACTCTCTTTTAGCCTTTTATAGCCTATTTTAGTCTATACTAACTTTTTTTATAGTATTCTATTTTAAAGTCTACTAAGTAAGCTATTATTTCTATAGTTAAAGATTTATAGAATACTATTTAAGAACTTTAAGTAGAGCTTACTTTCTAGCTAAAAAGTAATAAAGCTACTACTAAGAAGAGCTAGCTTAAAAAGTAGATTAAGGCTAAGAAAAATAAGATTAAGTATCTTAGAGCTAGTATTCTCTAAGTTACTCTTAGATAATCTCTAATAGTTCTTTATAGCCTATTTTAGCCTATTCTAAAGTAATATAGGCTCTTTTAGTATATTTAGATAGAGTTTAATAGAGTTTACGTAGAATTAGTTTAGACTAAGTAGTACTAGCCTACTTTAGACTATTATAGGCTATTATAGTATAGTTAGAAGCTCTTAAGTAATACTTAGATTAGAATTTCTCTATAAATATAAAAGTTCTTTATAGTAGTTAAGGTTATTTATCTATATAAATTTATCTAAAATATAATAACTTATTCTTTAAAACTAATTATAAGACCTAAAGAACTAATAACTCTACGCTAGAAAGAGTTAGAGTAAAATAGCCTATGCTAAGCTCTTTTAGACTATTAGAGACTATTCTAGTTTAAGGTACTATTAAATACTCTAAAAAACTCTATATAGAGAAAAAAGGTAAAGATATACTCTAGTTTACACTAGAATAGCCTATTATAGCTTAACTTAACTTATCTTCTCTTTTTATAAAGCTATTTATAGTATTACTTCTTAAGCTAAGCTTTTAAAGATTTTCTATACTATTATATTCTTTTCTTATTTTAGAACTTTTATAGCGTATTAGCTAAGATATTTAGACTTAGTTTCTATAAGTTTTCTTTCTCTAGGTATCTAACCTATTTAATTAGATACTTCTATTAGTTATTCTTATTATATTATCTTTTAATAATATATTCTACTTTATATATATTATTACTAAATTCTCTTAAAGTATTCTACTTAGGCGCTTTAGAGTATAGAATAGTGCCTTTTAGATTAAAAGGCTCTAAAAGTAATATATAAAATACTAGATAAATACTATTAAGTTCTAGAAAGTTAACCTAAAAGGCTAAAAGGCTAATCTAGTCTATAATCTTTCTAGGTCTAAAAAACTTCTAATCTAGCTTTTTCTTTAAGTAAGTACTTCTAATATATTAGTTAGAGACTAGAACTTAGTCTTCTACCTTAAAGAGTATTAGCGCGTAGTGCTTATTAGCGTACTCTTTCTAGTAAGTATTTACTATCTTAATCTTTCTATAGTACTCTTACTATAGTTTAATTACTTATTTAGTAAAGCTAGCTTTTATAAAGCTTTTTCTCTTACTA